ATAGATTTTTGTTACCACCAGCACAATCAGCATACAGACCAATTCCATTACCCAAAAAGTCCTCTCACGTGCCTATCCCTTATAGTTGCACCTTCTCCCACCATTACCTCCTGGCAACCACTGATCTATTTTCCATCACTGTAGTTTTGTGATTTCAAGAAGGCCATATAAATGGAATCACATAGTAGGATTCCTTTGAGACTGCCTTCTTTCACTCAGCATAATGCCTTTGAGAGTCACTGAAGTTGTTGTACGTGTCAGTAGTTCATTCCTTTTTATTGCTGAATAGTATTCCACAGCATGAACATACCCCTGTTTGTTTATTCTTCACCTATGGAAGGACATTTGGATTGTTTCTAGTTTTTGGCGATTGTAATAGAGCTGCCATTTGTTTATGTTTTTGTGTGAACGTAAGTTTTTATATATTTTTATTATGATGAGATTACATACAAGGACATTGTTAATATAGTCTCTTCCCACACTGAAATATATGAACCTGCCGAATTTTGCCTGATCCAAAGCCAGCAGCAGACTATCACGGTTAAGAGTAAGCTCCTTACCTGTATATGACTCTCAGCTCTCCTGTTTAATAGTGGTGTGGCATTAGGCAAGTTACTTCACATCTCTATGCCTCAATTTTCCCCATCCTGAAAAACTGAAACACCCGGCAGTATCCCCACATTGGTTCCCTGCCCTGTGGACTGAGGGCTATTAGAGTGGGAAAGGCCACATGGAAGCCACTAGATCTGCCTCTATCAAGGAAAATAATACACCCAAAGCAACACTGCATATTGGAGGGATTGCAGAGATCAGGGCCACCGTCAAAGATCTGGAAGATGCAGGGGTGGTCGTTCCCACCACATCCCCACTTAACTCTCCTATGTGGCTTGTACAGAAGACAGGCGGATCTTGGAGAATGACAGTGGATTATTGTCAAGCTGAACTAGGTGGTGACTCCACTTGCAGCTGCTGTACCAGACGTGGTTTCGCTGCTTGAGCAAATTAACACATCCCCTGGAAACTGATATGCAACTCTTGGGCTGGCAAATGCCTTTTCCCCCATCCCTGTCAATGAGAACCTCCAGAAGCAGTTTGCTTTCAGTTGGCAAGGCCAGCATGACACTTTTCCTGTCCCACCTCAGAGGTATATCAACTTTCCAGCTCTACATCATAATTTAATTCATAGGAATCTTGATCTCCTTTCCCTTCCACAGGCTATCACACTGATCCATTACACTGATGATATCATGCTGATTGGACCCAGTGAGCAAGAGGTAGTAACCACTTTAGACTTACTGGTAGGACGTTGGTGTGTCAGAGGATGGGAAATAAATCTGGCACAAATTCAGGGGCTTTCTATCTCAGTGAAATTTTTAGGGGTCCTGTGGTGTGAGCATGTCAACACATCCCTTCTAAGGTAATGGATAAGTTGTTGCAACTGGCCTCTTTTACAATCAAAAAAGAGACACAATGCTGAGGGGGCCTCTTTGGATTTTGGAGGCAACATATGCCATTTGGGTGTATTATTCCAACCCATAACCCAAGTGACTCAAAAAGCTGTTGAATAAGAAGACTCTGCAATATGTCGAGAGTGCTGCACAAGCTTCTCTGCCATTTGGGCCATAGGATCCAGCAGATCCAACGGTGCTCAAAGTGTCAATGGCAGGTAAGGATGCTACTAGGAGTCTTTGGCAGGTCCTAACAGGTGACTTGCAGCTCAGACTCTTAGGATTTTAGAACAAAGCCTGACATCCTCTATGGATAACTCTTCTCCTTTTGAGAAATAGCTCTTGGCCTGCTACTAGACCTTAGTAAGGACCTAATGCTTAACCATGGGCCACCAAATTACCATGAGACCTGAACTGCTCATCACCTGACTCATGAGGACGGACGCTACACTCCAAAAGAACGATGTGAGTTTTCTAATTTATACAGACAGAAATCTAAGGAACATGTGTGGGAATGGATATTAAGGGTACGGGATAATGGTGGAAGGAACACAAAGTGACATCTCAACCTCCAAAACTGTATAAGCGAATTCCTCATAACAAATCTCTTTCATATATACAGTTGATCCTTGAATAACATGGGTTTGAAGTGTGCAGGTCCACTTATACATGGATTTTTTACCATATAGTACTGTAAATGTATTTTCTCTTCCTTATGATTTTAATGGCATTTTCTTTTCTCTAGCTTACTTTATTGTAAGAATACAGTAACACAATATATAACATACATACACAAAATGTGTTATTTTATATTTATTTATAATACATATAACATACAAAATAGTGTTAATCGACTGTTCGACTATGTTATTGGTAAGGCTTCCCCAGTCAATGGTAGTCTGTTACATTTTTGAGGGATTAAAAGCTATACTTGGGCTTTCGCCTGCATGGGGGGTCAGCAATCCTAAACCCTGCCTTGTTCAAGTATCAACTGCAAAATGAAAGTCACATATATATTCCTACTGGTTTCATTTCTCTGGAGAACCCTAATATAGGCAAGTTCTGTAACATCTCTATGTCTCAATTTCCTCATCCTGGAAAATTGGGATAAACACTTTCTAGCTCCCAGAGTTGTGAGGATTAAAAAAAAGAATTGATACACGGAGTTTGCTGAGGTCAAAGCAGTGTTTTATACATTTTTGTATTTTAATCACCTAGTAAAGTTTCTGGCAGAATGCAGATGCTCATAAATATTTGTTGAATAAATGACTTTATCAATTTTTAAAATAATCCTAACATATATAACTGTATTATTCATTATTTTTTATTCAGCAAATATTTATGAATACCTACTATGCCCAGGCATAAATATTTTCATTAAGAGGAAAATGAATCATTGATACAGACTATTTTAAACTATTTTTTTCCTCACAGAGCTATTCTTCCTTAAATAAAAATTCATTCCATGAAGATTATGGAAATGAGATAAAGAATGAATAGCACATGCACTAGCTTCAATTACTTTCTAAAAGTCATATTAATTTACTTTTTGAACTAAAGAGCAAAACAAAGATTAAATAGAAGCTAGGAATTTAAGTAAAAGTATTCAGGTTCCTTTTCTTAGTGGAGGTAATTTCAAATTCCTTGCCCTCGGAGCAGGGGCAGGTAATTAACTGTGTTTCAAATAGGTTGATGATTTTGAAACTTCCCCCATGGTAATGCCGGTGAATCTAACTTAGGCTATATTTCCGGATTAATTGTAACATGATTGAAATTTGCATTTCCTTAATGGAGGGTGGTGTGGCTTGAAATAATTAGATTATATGGTGGCCCAATTATTTGGTTTGAACAGTCCCGCACACACCCTAAGGCTTAATTACCATGAATAAATCAATCCCACCCCAAATTCATTGGCTGTCACTGACAATAGCTTCAACTGTACTTGCACAGGGTAAGGAATTCAATGAGGCTAAGACCCGTGATTAAAACTTTAGCCGTTAGAATAACCGCTGACTCTCTTAGAGATCCGTTTTTCTTCAATGTAGAATCTGCAATTCTACTCAATTTAAACTTTGCAGTCATTTCTCTCTTCAAGACAGACTATCTAGGATTGAATTTCTTTTTTATTAAAGAAATATATTTAAGTAAGCTCTACACACGAGGTGGGGCTTGAACTCAGGACGCTGAAACCGGCGTCACATGCTCTACCCACTGAGCCACCCAGGCGCCTCCTGAATTCTTTTTTTCTAACTTTGCTTATGAGATAGGCTTTTCTTTTCACTCTTTAAAAAAAAAAAAACTGGAAAAATTTTAGGTTTTTTTTAAAGAATTCGTGAAGTAATTAGAACTGGGTCTTGTCCAGAGAAATTTACCATTAAAGAAATCTTAGAACACGACTGAAATAAAGATATTTACAATAGAAACGCCTACTATCATATTTGCTCTGAGAAACACAGCCAAGTAAAATTCTGATCTACTGCTGATTTCGATGTTTTTATTTATTAGGTCATCAGTTTCCAGTTTACGGCTAACTTTTAAGTATGTTCCTAAGCCAAAGGAAGGGGAGCGTGCCTATCCATGGGCGAGGGAATCAGCTCTTGGTTTCGATCGGGTGAGCGGCAATCCAGGCGCAAGAAAACCCCAGGGAGGGTGGGGGCGGAAATTAGCGACTTAAACGCCCAGCTCCCGAGAAGGCGGCCGGGTATTAGAAACAAGTAGAGCAGAAGAGATTTGGGGCTAATTAAAAGCAGCACAAGACACTCCCCCTCACGTTAGCCGGGCCGGGTCTCCAGCATTTGCAGAGTTGGGGGCGGGGACTAGTTAGGATTCAAATTTAAAGCGGGACGCCCGCGCAGAGCTCAGCAGGTGCCTTCAGCCCTGCTCCCCGCGGCGGGCGTTTCCGCCTCTACCTGCCCACCGGGCCGGAAATTACCTAGCAGGGGAGCTGCCCCTCCTTTGTTGTCAGCGGTTCCACAGCGCGGAAAGCCTTAAAAAGTGCGCAGCGGAGGGGACGCGGGGACTGGTCCGCCCACGAGGACTCCACGCGTTTCCACGCTCTTGGCCGCTGTGTCCCCTGCCCTTCCTTTAAAATGCCACTGTCCATTGGGGGGACGTCGGAGTAAAGCTGGGAGGGCAGTGAGGCGGGAGAGAGAGGGAGGATTGTAAGAAGGGACGAGCGCTCAACGTACTACACAGGTTACGCTTCAAGAAGGAGCCCAGGGGAGGTAACGCATGCGCCGCCTGCATTTCAGGCGCGTGGAGAAAGCTGCGCATGAGCAGAGCCGAAAGAAAAAAAATGCAGGGAAGGGGTGACTGGCAGGTTGAGGGCGCTTTAGCTACTGAAGAGACACAGCGGCCAGGAGGCGCGTGCGCAGAGCGCCCGAAGGGGTGGGGCTCCTCTAAGGGGTCGGCCTCGCGCGCCCCCTGGCGCGCGCCCGGGGAGAAGAGGGAGCGGGAGGGGGCGGAGAGGAGGGAGGAGGCACGGAGGGCGGGAGGGGGGAGGGGAGCCGGAGCGAGGGAGGGTTTATCGACCGGGCGATTTTGGTTAAAATATTCAAAATGGCGGACGGAGGAGCAGCGAGTCAAGATGAGAGTTCAGCCGCGGCGGCAGCAGCAGCAGGTAATCATTACAGCATTTTACATATTCATATTCATACTCAACCCCGGCTCCCGCTGCCCCCCCCCGCGACTTAGCATAATTTATTAGTACTCAGGATTATTATAATTAACGGCGGGGAGATGGGGGGCCGGGGAGCACGGAGCCCCCGCCGGGCGCCGAGCGGAGGGGGAAAGAGGCTTGGAGCGGCCAGGCGGAGGGGGAAGACAAGGGGCAAAGGGGGCTGCGATCC